AAGAAAGCACAGACTACACAGATATGTAGGTATCTATGGTAAGAAACCAGACCAGTTTCTCAACCTCAGCTCTACTGACATTCTAGGCCAGATAATTCTTGGTTCGGGAGACTGTGTACATTGTAGGGTATTTCGTTGCATCCCTAACCTCTACCTACTAGATGCCAGCAGAACTCATCAGGTATGATAACCCAAAAGTCTCTAGACATTGCCAAATGTCCCCGGGGTGGGGGTGGGGGAGCAAAATTGCCCCTGGTCAAGAACCACTGCCATGATAAGCAATTATCACTCAAACCCCACCTAGCACCACCAGGCTGCACATGCTAACCTTGCTTCATCTATGAATACCAGCTAATTTAGTCATCCTTTTTTGATGGGAAGAGAAAAAAGCCAACTAAGGGGTAGACCTGGCTTTATAAAGTACCTTTTCCTTAAAAACTACAAGTATTTGGCAACTTGCAAAGTGATACCACCTCTAGCACCAAAGAGGAGAGTATGAATAAAAAGAATGGTTGCCAAGGGGGAGAAAGGCTGCCACAAAACTACCTGACTTGAATTCCCTCTGACATCATCGAAACTCTCAGCAGATGAACACACTCACTCCTTTTATTCTCTATGAGACACAGGTGGAAAGTACTACGGTCTACTACATGTCACATATGCGCAAATGGAAAAAGGCAAGCAAACTGTCCTCGTCAAATGAGAACAAAATTGAAGACAGGAACTCACTGACGGCTGACAGCCCGAGCCCTTCAGTCCAGATTCAAGGCTTGTTACACGTGGCCTCCAGGTCATCTCCAGGTTTTCTCTCACAGCACATTGTCCAAACAAGTAGTTTTCAACCCTATGACCCAATGCCCTCTTTTTATAACAAATATTCTTTAATGCCCTTTTGCTACTCTGAAATGACATTTAAAGATTGTAACACTATACCTGCCCACACAGATTTTAAAATTTCAATATAACAACTTAAATGCCATATAAAGGAACATAAAACACAATTTGGTTTGTGTGTTTTTGTTTTGAGACGGTCTCGCTCTGTTGCCCAGGCTGAAACGTAGTGGTACAACCTCAGCTCACTGCAACCTCCACCTCCCAGGTTCAAGCAATTCTCTTGCCTCAGCCTCCCGAGTAGGCAGGATTACAAGCGTGCGCCACCACACCCAGCTAATGTTTGTATATTTAGTGGAGACAGGGTTTCGCCATGTTGGCCAGGCTGATCTAGAACACCTGCCCTCAAGGGCTCTGCCCGCCTCAGCCTCGCAAAGTGCTGGGATTACAGGCATGAGCCACCACGCCCAACCCAATAAACAAGATTTAATAAAACATGTATTTTCAGATAAGACTACACTAGAAAAAAAAAGATTCCCTCCTCCCCCAGACCCCCATTCCCAAAGTGCCCCCTAGAGGCCAGAGCCATCCTACTCCATCTGCTCCACACAGACCCCCTCCCATCAGTCACAATGGTCAGCAACCTCTGCCCTTACCAAGGGTAAGCACACAAAGTAGGTAAGAGGGAAGGATCTGAAGTTAGACCAACTGAGGCCAAACTTGGCTCCACCACTCAACTGCTATAGTTACCCTCTATAAGCCTAGTTTTTCATCTATAAAAGAAGGATGCCAGAAGGTTTTTGTGAAAATTAAGTACAGTATTACACTTAACATGTAATACATGCTGAATAAATGTTAGCTATTGGAGTTAACAATACTATTCCTAAATCCACCTAGTATTGTTTTCTAGCTTCTGCTCACTTATTCCATTAGCAGAAAAGATGGAAGACTGGATATCCACTTATCAGAGACACTCTTCAAAAGACTCGGGTATAAGAAGCCACATCACAGGCCAGGTGCTGTGGCTCATGCCTGTAATCCCAGCACTTTAGGAGGTCAAGGAGGACAGGTGGATCCCTTGAGCCCAGGAGTTAGATGCCAGCCTAGGCAACACGGCAAAATACCATCTCTACAAAAAAAATACAAAAATCAGCCAGGGGTGGTGGCATGCGCCTGTCGTCCCAGCTACTCAGGAAGCTGAGGTGGAAGGATCATCTGAGCCCCAGAGATCAAGGAGGCAGTAAGCTGAGATCACGCCACTGCACTCCAACCTGGGTGTCGGAGTGAGACCTTGCCTCCAAAAAAAAGAAGCTGCATCACATGACTTCTAAGATTGTTTCTAATTCTGAGATGCTACACTGCACTGAGGTTTTTTCATTCACTTAGGTCCTTCCGTCCCAGTTGGGAGGGTCAAGAACGCATCTTACATAACTGAGAAACACCTCATACAATGATGATTTAGTGTGCCACTGAAAACCCAGCCTTGGTCACTGGTTCTTCACCATTTAGTCCCAAATAGTATTATACATTACAATCATGGAATGAATGATAGCTTTTCCAGTGAAGGTACTTCATGCAGCATGTATGTTTTCTTCAGAAAGTGGTGACTGTCTAGGGCCACTCGCATCTATGTGAATTAATTCCTTACAGCAACAAGCAAAGCAACACTCCTAAACATTCTAGATTAACAGGTGAGGAAGTCAAAAAAGGTGGTGGCAACAGCCAGACAAATACCTCAAAACAAAACTGATTCCAAAGATAATATTCTGAGTAAAAGCAGTCATTGCTCTATTAAACTAACACATAGGCCCTAGAAGTAATAGGCACATCTCTGTGCATGGGGAAATATCCTACTTACATATAAGAACCTATAATTTACATAAACATATCCACCTATAAGAGGAAAAACAGAAACTGTCAATTACTACAACTCACTCTGCATTAACTATCCAAGATGCTCACAGCTGTTATTTCTGGGTGATAAATTACTCTGGGGGTGGGGTGGGTAGAGGAGAATGAAGGGGGATGTAGGAGATAGGGGGGATTAACAAATCCCTGTTCCTTTTGCTTATTTATAATTTCCAGTATTTCTAACACGATGCTCTCTTAATAAGAATTTTAAGTCCTATATGGCTATTCATTAAAAATCCATGAAATTTGGGGCAAGAAACCATTTTCGATGAACTTTTTATTGGGATCTGTGGATAATCTAAGTATTCACCTATGTCTCTCACACAACCTAAAATCATCCTAGTTCCCCGCCTCAAATCACAATGCAATGGATCAAAACTTACTTTCTCTCTTCTCTATTCCCCCTGCAGACCTTACAGATTATGCCACTACAATGTCAGCACTGAGCATAAGAAAACCTCACTACTAGTTTTTGCCAGTTTCCCACTGATACCAACCCGCCCTCTGGGATAGTGAGATAAAAGAGAGAAATGAATGGTTTTTAAATCACTGATTTTGCACTGAGAAAAGTGACTTATTTAAAAAACAAACAAACAAAAAAAAAAATCCTTGGCTGGGTGCAGTGGCTCATACCTTTAAGTAATCCCAGCCCTTTGGGAGGCCGAGGCAGTCGATTACCTGAGGTTAAGAGTTTGAGACCCTGGCTAACATGGCAAAACCCCATCTCTATTAAAAATACAAAAATTAGCCAGGCATGATGGCGTGCGCCTGTCATCCCAGCTACTCGGAAGGCTGAGGCTGAAGAATCGCCTGAAGAACTCGAGAGGCAGAGGTTGCGGTGAGCGGAGATCATGCCATTGCACTCCAGCCTGGGCAACAAGAGCCAATTCCACCTCAAAAAAAAAAACAAAAAACAAAAAAAAACTAAACCCGGACACTTTTTCTATATCACCATTTCACAGCTATGAATTCCCAATTCTCACACTGAAAAGCCTATGAAGAATCATAAATGTCCCAAAAATAAAATGTCATTTTGGTAAACACACATTTAGCAACACTATTCTTCCCTGCTCAGTACAACAGCACAGAAAGATCTCAGGAGGCGACGAAACAGCCTCTAAAACAGGCATACCTCTCTGCCCAACAAAAAAACTTAAATACAGACTGGTTCAATCCAACAAGCATTTGTTAAGCACTTACTATATTCAGAGCACCATGCTAGGTGTTTATTCATCTCTAAAAAAGTAGACATGATACCTGCCTGCCAGGGAACCATAACTCTAATCTGGAAGACAAACACTCAAGATGAACTAATATATGACAGACCCTGATAAAATGTAGTAACAGAGGTTTCAAATCTGCTCTGTTAGTATGGAAAGGGAGGGATTCAAACTGCAATAATTAGAAAAAGAAAGCCAGGAGAGGTGGCTCGTGCTCCTAGTCCTAGCTACTCCAGAGGCTGAAGCAAGAGGATCGCTTGAAGTGGGAGTTCCAGGATGCAGTGAGCTATGATTATGCCTGTAAACAGCCACTGAACTCCAGGCTGAGCAACATAGCAAGACCCTGTCTCATTTATTTAAAAAAAAAAAAAAAAAAAAAGAATCTTGAAAAAGATTTTTCAATGTTTTAAGTTCTACATATACTGTATTGATATATTTAATTCGGCCATTTATTCACCCTGATCATTCATCCAAAATAAAAGGTGGTTGGCTGAGCTTGGCGGTAATCCCAGCACTTTGGAAGGCCAAGGCGGGTGGATTACCTGAGACTAGGAGTTAAAGACCAGCCTGGCCAACATGGTGAAACCCTGTCTCTACTAAAAATACAAAAATTAGCTGGGCGTGGCAAATCCCAGTATTTTGGGTGGCCAAGGCCAGTGGATCACTTAAGGCGAAGAGTTTGATATCAGCCTGGCCAACATGGCGAAACTCCATCTCTACTAAAAATACAAAAATTAGCCGGGTATGGTGGCAAGCGCCTGGAATCCCAGCTACTTAGGAGGCTAAAGCAGCAGAGTCGCTTGAACCTGGGAGGTGGAGGTCACACGGTGAGCCGAGATCGCGCCACTGCACTCCAGCCTGGGCAACGGTGAGACTCCGTCTCCAAAAAGAAACACAGCAAAACAAAATAAAAGTTGGCAGAAATGCTCAGCTACCAAAAGCAAGCATCAGAGGTGCAATCTACACACTGGGATCCTTTGAACTAAAAAAACTGAGACAAGTGCCTTGGAACCAGGAGGATGTCTGCAAAAGGCTCACCAACATCAGAAGGTCTGTGCTAGGCATCTTCCTCGTTCCGCCTCCTCTCCGTGCTCCCCTTCTTCAGAATCTGTAAAAGGGAACCAGGTTTGTTTACTTCTAGAGCTTTAAACTGTCTCACCGGCCCGCCTAGATTCGCCAGAGTAGCCAAGTTAGGGTTCTCCCCCTCCTTTGAAGGCTCAGATTTCACTCCCAGATATTACACTCCACCCCCTGCACCAGACTAGCGAATCAAAATCCTGCTGCAACTAGGTTTCCCTCCCACAGCTGATGAAACGAATCCAGACCCAGACTCCCACAAAGCATTCCACCCAGGTGGATACCAGGGGAGACGCCCCGTCTACGCGCGATCAGGGTGGGAAGCCCAGAGCCCAGCCCAGGCCACCTAACCCGGGCTGAGGTGCGCCGGGGTCCTGAGAGTGCCAGGGTCCTGCCTCCTCCGCACTCCCTTCCGAAGTAGCCCGGCCTCGCTCCCGTCGTCACGCCTCCCTCCTCGCTGGCCTCCCCTCCCTTTGGAGGACCAGCAAACCCTGGCTGCCCACGCCCACTCCTACTCAGGCGGCAGGAGTGGGCTCCAGGCCCGCCCCCACCGCAGCCCCGCGCCCGCATGCCGTCCACTCACTCAGACCTCGGCGGCCGGTGCCCGCGCCTTCCGCCCGCCTCCGCCCTGGCCACAGCCGCCCCATGCCTCTGCGCGCCCCCGGCCTCCGTCCTCTTCTCACCCCGCGGCGCCTCCATCCCGACCCTCCCCGCCCCCAGAGCAAGCGGCGGTCCCTCCACCTCCTCACGCCGGAACCAGCTTCCAGTCTCCTTCTCTCGAGCACTCTCTCACGCCTGGCAGCTCCACCTCCCACGTCCACCTCTGCGCGCGACCGACTCGGCAGCCAAAGGATTTGGGCTCCCAGGTCGCCTCCGCCGCCGCCAGGATTCGAGGCCCGGCTACCGCCGGCCCCGCCCCTCCCGGAAATGGCTTCGGGCGCCGGCCTGGCTCCGGGACCCCGCCGTGCGCGGCCCCGCTGCCACCGGCCGCGCGCACGCCCGGACCCCGGGCCCCACGGCGTGTGCGCGCCGCCTACTGGCCAGGCAGCAGGCTGCACGCAGGCCCTCCGGTGACTGTCTCAACCAGGCCGTCCTGGGGGTCGCTGTGGGATCCTGGCGTTCACCAACTTCTCTTCCAGCCTGCTTTTAAAAAAACACTTTCTGGTCACATTTGGCCACTTGGAACTCTCTGAGAGAGTAGGCCTGCAGGGCATTGTACGAACTAATCCAAAACAGCCACAGAGTTAGGTCTCTAGAGGAAGGTTTTGGGTTTTTAATGAATGAGCAAGGCATTTGACCTTTCTCATGCATCAAAATCCCAAGACCTGTCTCTTTCCTGGGACGGGGACTTCATTTTTCCATCGAGGTCAGTGGTGCGTGAAGAAAAGCAACATGGAAGCTCATTTAATGGAAATGCCATCCCCAGCCTCCCCTCCACAACCACCCTCGGAAAAAAAATGGAGAGCAGAGACTATTCGGCCATCACTACTACTTTTCATGAGCAGTGCTGGGAATCATCTTACGCGCAAGCGCAAGGGCTCACAGGGAGCACAAAGGTCACCTTCATTTCCGGACCAAAAAAACTAAGTCTCAGCTGGGTGCGGTGGCTTACGTCGGTAATCCCAGCACTTTGGGAGGCTGAGGCCAGAGGATTGTCTGAGCCCAAGAGTTCTAGATCAGCCTGCACAACATACCGAGACCCCCCAGCTCCCAAATGAAAAAGAAAAAACTAAGTCTCAGATAGGTTTCCCATGACTTTTTCATGTTGTCGTGGATTGCTTTAGTGGAAGCAGAAGGCGGTGCAGTGACCTGGAACCAACTGGTCAGGGACCTGCATTCAAGATTATTTTTTCAGTAGATTTTTAAATGACACCTAGGTGGAATCTTGAAATCGCTCAAACAAAAATGACGCTAATGAGGGTACCCAATTCCAACCCCTTGGAAAATGTTGCCATGACACTAAAATGAGGGCATCATCATCACTACCACCATTATCCTCAGGTAGTGCTTTCAGGATGAAATATACTATCACAGCTGCCCTCCTCTGCACACCCCATCCACACTTCCCAGTTCCCCAGCCAGAATGGTTAAGGCCCTGAAAGACTGTAACAGGTTATCTTTAGGCTTCCTCACCCCCATTCCATCAGAACTCCCAGACATCTCTACCATCCAAAGCCCCCGACACAGGCACGAACACCCCCATACCCTTACCCCTCTCACTACTGTTACCCAGCAGACATGCATTCTCAGTGTTTAAGGGTCAGAAAATGTTCTGGTGCCTCCTGCCAATGTCTGCTCATCAAGAGTTGCTTTGGAGTTTCAAGCATACCTTCCCATTCCCCATCTCGTACACTTCTGCTTTAATTCTTCATCAGATCCCCCAGGAACTGCACATCTCCTCTCCCATCTTCTTCTTAGCTACCACCCTACCCCAACCTTTAATCTAGAATCTGTGCACCCAGATGACTAGAGGGCGGAGTCATGTCTGATTCCTCCCTACAGCCTAACACACAGTATGCAGTCTGCTCATTCTTCCCAGATGCACAAACCGATTCAATCATACTGATGGATCCTTACTTTGCCCAGAACTATGCTAGGCACCTTTACATACAAGCTTTATTTATGTCCTGACCTGCACAGATCAGATGACTCTCATCATCTCTCAACTTGTAAACAAGGACACCAAGACCAAAGAAGGACATGATCCTCCCAAAGACACACAGGCAGGATGGGGGTGGAGTTTGCATGGGAGTTTGGATGGGGATCCGAGGCTTCAGACCTTGTAGGGAGGAACTCAAATACACAGAAACTGAGGTCCAGAGAGAGATGCAACTCCTGGCAGTTCCTGGCAGAGCCCAGCCTAGAACATGGATCTGGGCTTGCAACTCTGTGAGCCTATGAGGCTGTGTGTCTGTGTGTGTGTGTGTGTGTGTGTGTGTGTGTGTGTGTGTGTGTGTGTGAGAGAGAGAGAGAGAGAGAGAGAGAGAGAGAGAGAGAGAGAGAGAGAGCAGCATTGGCATCACCTGAGAGCTTGTTATAACTGGAGGTTCTTGGAGCCCCACTCCAGACCTGAATCAGAATCTACATCTTAACAAGGTCCCCAGGTGATCTCAATGTCTCAATGCACAAGAAAGTAAGAAGTACTACCCCAGACCCTCTTTTTGCAGAGAAAGCAAAACGATTTTTGTTTGCTTATTTAGAAACAGGGTCTCAATATGTTGCTCAGGCTGGAGTGTAGTGGCTGTTTACACCTGTGATCATCGCTCAGTACAGCCTTGAACTCCTGGGCTCAAGTAATCCTCCTCTCTCTCAGCCCCCTGAGTAGCCGGGACTACAGACACACGGTGCTTTGCCCAGACAGAAGGCACGATCGTTGTATTAAGTTTGTGGGTTGTTTGGGATGGCTTAAGGAGGTGGATGAAGAGGGTGTCTGTGTGGGGCTGTGGAGGAAACTAGTGCTCCCCAGTTGTCCTTTGGTACCATCATGGTACCTTCCAGGATGAAGACGGAAGATTGTCATTTGGGTGTCAGAGAGGCCCTGAAATTCCCACAGACGACAGAAGGGATTACAGGCATAAGCCACTGTGCCCAGCTGTTTTTTTTTTTAATAAACATATGTGTCAAGTGAAGTTGATTATGGCTCATGTGACTATAAACTAGCTTTTCACCTCTATGAATATTCTGATGGTACATGCAAAAGATGTATGGGACTCAGGACAATTCTTCATTGTGAGGGATGCATCCCATCACTGAATTCCAGAGGAACCAGCCTCATCATTATGACAACCAAAAGTTTTTTAATTTCGGGAGTGCTCCCTAGGGAGCCCAGCTGCCCAATTGAGAGATTCTCGTGTGGACTGATGACAAAGATACACTCCAGCACAAGCCTCATTTTAGGATCTACAGCTGAGGATTTGTCAAGCCAGAAGGACTTAAGCATCATCCAGGTGCCCGTGTCCATTTAGCATGGATGGTCAGCAACTCCAAGGAGCCTTTCAAAATCTACGTCAGGGCTCTTCTGCAGACGGAGTGAATGAGGTGTGAGGCCCAGACATCTGTCTTTTGCACATTCCTAGATAAGAGCTGGAAAATTCTATCCATTTTTATCTGTTTCTAAGCCTTGGTCTTGCAGCTAATGGGGCAGAACATAGAATTTCTGACATTCTAGCCCCAGAAGCCCAGATCCAGGAAATGTAGTGAAGTTTGTGGGTTCTTGTGAGGCCGCTGGGATGCTGTGCTGTGGGGTTTGGGTTGCACCATTAACTCTCTCTGGGCTTCGATTTTCTCATCTCAAAATTAGGTAGAGAGGGGAAGCTGCTCCTCACCTCTGTCAGTCTAGAGTTCTCTTTGGGCCACTGGGGTTACTCTTCCCAGAATCCTCTGTTTGGTATCTCCATCTGTCTGTCTCCAGGTGCCAAGGAAGGGCCTTCTGTCCTGTGGTTGCTTGGTTGAGAGAGTGTTTGTCCCGGCCCTGCTGTGAGGATGATCATGTTGCCAGATTGCCCTGGGGGGCCAGGCCCTCTCACCACCCTCCTGAGTGTTGACACAGATGGGACATGATAAAGAGGCCCAGTGTTATACAAGTTCTGAGTAAACAGAGCATCAGTGGGGTAATTTCAGCCCTTGGCCCTGGTTTGCTCCTTGCCTGGCCCTGTAGAACTGGTTTCCAGGGTTCACTCAGAGGGGCTGGGCAGCACCTGTATCCTAGGCTCAGAGGTCAGGGTAGCCAGGGGTGTGCCCTAATCTACAAGGGGTCAAGAGCTTTTTATGTCTTAAAACTGAATGAAAGGAATTTTCTCTAGTCAGTGACTAAGGGCGGAATATTCTCTATGCTCAGCGGGAGTGACCTAGGCAGAGGGATCAAGGGCAGCTTGAGTTGAGAACACAGCAGAATCAGGAGCCAGCCAGACAGAGGGGGGCAGGAAGAGCATACTGGCTGAGCAAGTGCCAAGGACCAGTGGTGGGGCAGGGGTGGCAGGCCACTGTGGCCAGAGACAAGCCTGAGAGGGACGGAAGGGAGAAGCTGGCATGCAGGTCAGTAGGGGCAGACATGGAAAATACATATACCTTCCCGGGGCCCAGGCAAGTAATGTGACTGCTACCAATTGGGAATGCAGGCTTCGGGCTTATTCATTCAACTACTCAATGCCAGGTTGCAATATTGATGGCCTGGGATGTATCATCAAGCAAAACAAAGAACCCTGCCCTCAAACAACTTACATTCCAGCAGAAGGAGGCAGACATATAAGCATAATAAATAAGTAAACTATATGGTAAGTTAGGAGATGCTTGGGGCTATGGATAGGGAGAAAGCAAAGTGGTATAAGGGAAGCACAAAGTATGGGGCTTGGGGCAAGATATCATGGGTACTGCAATTTTATTTAGTTAGTTTTTTGAGATGGAGTCTCGCTCTGTGGCCCAGACTAAAGTTACTGGGGTGTCATCTTGGCTCACTGCAACTTCCACCTCCCAGGTTTAAGCAATTCTCCTGCCTCAGCCTCCCAAGTAACTGGGACAGGTGTACATCACCACTCCAGGCTAATTTTTGTGTTTTTTCAATTGCATTTTAGGTTTGGGGTACATGTGAAGAACATGCAAGATTGTTACATAGGCACACACATGGCAGTGTGGTGTGCTGCCTTCCTCCCCATCACCTGTACCTGGCATTTCTCCCCATGCTGTCTCTCCCCAACTCCCCACCCCCTGCTTTTTAATAGAGATGGAGTTTTACCACGTTGGCCAGGCTGGTCTTGAATTCCTGAGCTCACGTGATCCATGTACCTTGGCCTCCCAAAGTGCTGGGATTACAGTCACGAGCCACCACACCTGGCAATTTAAAATAGAATAGTAGGGTAATTCAGTATCTCAATTTTTCCAAGGAAAAACAGAAATCTAGATTTTAAAAAATTCTCTCAATTTTAAAATGATGATGTCCTAGAAGCCTGCCAGAGTCAGAGATTATTCTCACTCTCTTTGCCA